GGTGTAAACCTTATAAAAACCACACCCTAATAATAATAATAATAATAACAACAATAATAATAATAATAGTAATTACAAAATTCTCTGCCCCTTTCTCCCTCTCACTCTCAATGACATGAAAAAAGACGAATCATCAAACAAATCTTGAGGAAGATATTACACAAACTTTTAATGAAATTCAATCATACATTTCAATCAAGAAACCATTAACAAGCCCCAAAAATATAGTCAACAGACGAAGTTCATAAACCAACTTTGTCCTAAAAGTGGGTTCAAGGCTACAGGAACGCATTCTTGCAACGGATGTTTGTGGTCTCGTACCCACTTTAGCTTTCGTGAGCACTTTGCCTTAAATCCCTCTCTCTCTATATATATATATATACTTGATGCCCTCACCACATAATTATGCATCCTTGCATAACATGTCTATCAGGAATACAGCCAAAGTATCGTGTCTGGCTTCGTGGTTATCAATGTCAATTAATCAAACACAACACTTGGTTCATCGTGCATCAGAGAGAGACCAATTGCTGTTATAATTTAGCTTTAGTTTGGGGAGCATCTGATGGCCACAAAAGTCAAGCAGTCAAGGAAATCAATAGCTGAAAGCTCTGAAGTTTTCATGCATTGATCATGTTGAACTGAAACCTTGATAATTGTTGCGGGATGGTGGAGATGACAGGCCCATATCTCTGCAACCAAATTCCACCATTTGTCAAAAACCAAAAACAAAGACCAGATTGTATTTTCTTTTTTCATTCAAAGACCCCCCATTGGAGAGTTTTTCTCTCTCCCCGTAATAGAAACATATTTTTAAATGGATGATTATATAAATTAATCTATCCAGTTGCTTACAATCACAAAAAATGCAGCATGCTTTTGAAACCCAAGAAGATATTGCAACCTGAGGCATTTAAAGGGAAGAAATGACGGATTTTGATCCTATTTTATTGGGTGAAAGGAACATCTTTGGGCATAATCTGTCTCTCCCCTCTTCCTGAGGGCTTTGAAGGGAAGGAATGATCAATTTGGATCCTACTTCATCAGGAAAAGGATAAAGCACAAGAATCTCTCTCTCTGCACAAATGCCAAACCTGTGTGGGGAGAGAGAGAGAGAGCTAGAAATCAACAGCCTCCTGCCCATCCAACCACTTTCACCCATCCAAAACAGGAGAAACAAAAGAACAACAAGGCCCAAAAAGAGCATCGAGCATACCTGAACATTGTCATAAAGCTCAAATAGGGGAACAGCAAGCAGTTTCAAGTTTTTGGGCACTGCAAAGTACTCCCTCTCAGACAAGTGAACAAGGAAAAGCTTCTTACATTCCTGGATCAGAAAAAGATTCACTGAGCCAAGCAGAGAAAGGATTAAGAAAACTGTCCATACAAGCCAAGCAGAGAAAGGATAATAGAAAACAATCTAAACAACAACTAAGAGAGAGGCACAGTACATGCAGCCTTCTAAAGAGAAAACGTCATGTGTTCCACATTTATAACAAAAAATGACCTTCATAAACTGCCGATGGTTTCTTCTCCTTTTTTCCTTCCTGATCGTTAGTGTTGTAGGGATTTCAAGGAAAATGAAGGAAATACCTTATCTCTTATGCACCGAGAATCGCATGTACAGATGTGAGATGC